GCCAACATGGACAAGAACCAGGCATGGATCTCACCAGACTTGTCTGTACCTTGTGCAGAATAGACATTTATACCGGCCTCACACAGCCATTGTTATAGTCAAGTGCACTTATTCTTTGTTTTCTTTTTTTATATGTCCCAATATTTTGGGGGCTACCCCAATTGTTTGCAGGGCACTCTTACCCCCATTTTTGCTTCCTTTTGCAGCCCTCTAGCCCTTTCCATTACTTTTTTAGAGCCATTTTAGTGCCCAAACGTTTGGGTCCCCATTGACTTCAATGGGGTTCGGGGTCAAGTTCAGGTCAAGTTCGAGGCCGAACTCAAACTTTTTGCCAATGTTCGGCCGAACCTGGCAAACCCGAACATCCTGTTGTCCGCTCAACTCTACCTGCAATAAAATTTGTAAGATTTCTTTACTGAGCCATGAAGTGCACAAAGCATTGGAGACCACAATAAAGACATTTTATTTGAACGAATATATAGGAGACAGACGTCAATGGGAATTCCAGAGACGATGCCTAGAGACACAATAATTAGATTCCACTCATACAAGACCAGAGAAAAATTAATTCAAGCATTCAGAGACATTTCAGTATTTCCAAAAAAATGTCAACATCTGAAATGCTTCCTCGATTTATTTAGTAGCACTAGAACTCTAAGAAGATCATATCAAGACGTTACACAAATACTGAGGACAAAAAATATAAAATACAGATGGGGTTTCCCTGTGAAACTAATGGTTCAATATAAGAATTCCACCTTAGTCTTTGAATTAGTAAATAAGTCTGCTCATATTGCAGTTTTAAACATTTGAATTATTTAGGTGCTAAAAAGTCAATTTGGTGCCTGCACTTCATATCTGGTGTATGTGTGCAACACTGGCTAGTTACCGCTTCTCAAGAAAGTCTAAAGACTTTTAAAAAAAGTGAAAAATAAGTGTTATTGTGATCGCTTCATATACAGAAGCATTAATATACATTTCTATATTGTGTAAAGACACAACTACAAAGTTAAAAACCAAACACCAAAACAACGTGGAATCAAGGTCATTCGAGTGACGTGTGCAGTTTGGAGGAAGAGGCGCTGGTCACACAGAGGCACCAGCACAGCATAAGAGGGAGCAGGGTGCAAAAGCGGAGCGGCCGTCCCCTAGCGCTCGTCGGCATGTATTATCTTTAGAATTCCCACAGTTATCCAAGTAACAGATGGAGCAATAAAAAGAACCATAACAGATTTAACGAGCCATTCACAGTTTCGCAGTCCGGTGACCAGGACCCAGACACTGTCTGGGCAGCGGTTGGACGACCGGAACCCAGTATGCCTGATATTGAAGTTAGGAGTCACAGTGTGGAATGGATTAGCAGGGTCTGGTGCAGGGTAAGTGCATGCCCCCGGGTGTTGAGCACCAGCATTTGTGCGGCCACATACCAGGACCCTGATGCAGCTTCAGCGAGCAGCAGTCGATAGCGGAGTTTCAGCTGCAGCACGCACGGGTCAGTCGCTCTGCACCTCCAATTGATCCAAGTTAAAAGATTTAAAGTGCACAATTACAGGGCCTCGAAAGAGTAGTGTATTGTTATTTGTCGTCCCTACCTCCCCACATCGGGAGTGGGTAATTTGCACACCTGCTGCCTTCCTTGCGTGTGGTAGCCATTTCTCAGGCTCCCTCTCTGGAATCGAACCCTGATTCCCCATTACCCATGGTCATCATGGTAGGCACGGAAAATTGCATCGAAAGTTGATAGGGCAGACATCCGAATGCGTTGTTGCCGTCACAGGGCGTGTAATCTGCACGAGGTTATCACAGGCAAGCGCAACCGCCTGTCCATGGCCAACATGGACAAGTTCACGTTTATTAAAATGAACCAGGCATGGATCCCACCAGACTTGTCTGTACCTTGTGCAGAATAGACATTTATACAAGCCTCACCCAGCCATTTTTATACTGGAGTGCCCTTATTATTTTTTTATTTTTTTTTATATGTCCCAATATTTTGGGGGCTCCCCCAATTAGAAAAAAAACAACAACAAAAAAAGTGTTGGCTACCTCCTCCACCACCGCCACTTCCACCTAACCTGCCACGGTGTATACCCAGATATATCAGAGTTGCTGTAGAAAGTGCGGGCCATCTGTGCGCGCTTTTGGCGTTTTCACCCTGCTGCTGCTCGCCTGTCTGCGCTGCAGCGTAACTTCGGGCTTCCCGCTCACCGCCTCATATTCAACATGCCTACAAGGTGAAACTCCACCTCGCACATGCTGGAGAGACTGTGCGAGTAGCAGCAGGCGATAGCGGAGTTTCAGCTGCAGCACGCACGGGTGAGTCGCTCTGCGGAACAGCACCACCAATGAGTGGGCCTCCATGTGAGACCTGTGTGCCATGTTGCGCTGTTTCAAGGACTCCACCAACATGGCCAGTGCCGCTGACAGCCTTACTATCCCGCTTCTATGTCTCCTTGAAAAAACGCTTTGGGCGATGATGGAAGAGGATGTGGCACAGGAGGAAGAGGAGGAGGAAGAGGGGTCATTTCCACAGTTATCAGGCCATTCATTCACAAGTGGCTCGGAGGGTGGGTTCCTGCACCAGCATAGGCCAGGTACACAATTGTCCAGCATCTCCACACTGTCCCATGGAAGCGTTCAGCTGTCCATCTCCCAAACACTGGAGAGAAATAGGAAGTACCCCCCTACCCACCTGCAATCCCTGGCCCTGAATGCCAGCATTTCAAATATCCTGGCCTTTGAAATGCTGTCATTCCGTCTAGTGGAGACAAACAGTTTTACAAACCTGATGACGTTATTGGACTGCAAGAAATGCACCGCAGTCCGCAAATGTTTCTTTTTTTTTATATTTCCCAATATTTTGGGGGCTACCCCAATAACAAAATAAAATAAATAAATAAAAAACAGTGTTGGCTACCTCCTCCGCCGCCATGGTCACCGCCTCCTCAACCTCCTACTCCACATCCACCTCCTCCTCCTAGAGCAGGGTGCAAAAGTGGAACGGCCATCCCATAGACAGTAAGCTCACCGCACCCAGGGACCAAGCATACCAAAGCCAGCTCCAAGGAATTCCTTGACGTGGCAGTTCTTCAGACAATGTTCTGACGACAAGACACTAGTGGTTTGCACACTGTGCAATCAGAGCCTGAAGCAAGGCATAAACGTGCTAAACCTGAGCACAACCTGCATGACCAGGCAGTAAGCACCTCAAAAACCAAGAAAGGTCTCAGGTTACTCCTACTTCCTCTTCTGCTGCTGCCTCAGCCTCTTCCTCCACCTCTGGAGTGACAGTGGCACCTGCCACCCTGCAAACAGAGGATGTGGCAGCAACACCACCACATCCGCCACCTTCCCCAAGCATCTCCACACTGTCCCATGGAAGCATTCAGCTGTCCATCTCCCAAACACTGGAGAGAAAGTACCTCCCTACCCACCCGCGCTCCCTGGCCCTGAATGCCAGCATTCCAAAAATCCTGCCCTTTGAAATGCTGTCATTCCATCTGGTGGAGATGGACAGGCGTTATTGGACTGCAAGAAATGCACCGCAGGCCACAAATGTTTCTTTTTTTATATGTCCCAATATTTTGGGGGCTGTCACAATATTTTGGGGGCTACCCCAATAAAAAAAAAACAAATAAAAAAAAGTGTTGGCTAGCTCCTCCTCCTCCACTGCTGCTTCCACCTACACCGCCACAGTCACCGCCTCCTCAACCTATGGGTCACTATGTATTAGCTATGTACACAATAGCAGAGGCTCGTGAAGGCCTTTTCTCCATGCATCAGGAGTTGAGCACAGTTTGAACAATGAAAGAGAATACCCTGCACTCCAACTCTCTCTCAAATGGATAATTCTGGTGATCCTCCTGACAGCCATGCTTTAGATTTTGATTTATGTTCTTCCAAAGCTAAAATCAAAGAGTCCATCTAGTGCTATTTTATGGCTCAGCTGAATTTTTAATTTTTTAGGTAATTTATGTTATTTTTAAGTGATTTCCCTATCCATATTTGTTTGCAGGGCACTTGTCCTACTCACACCCCCATTTTACTTCCTTTTGCAGCCCTCTAGCCCTTTCCAGGACTTTTTGAGAGCCATTTTTGTGCCCAAAAGTTCGGGTCCCCATTGACTTCAATGGGGTTCGCGGTCAAGTTCGATCCCGAACCCGGACTTTTTTTCGAAGTTCGGCCGAAGCAGCCGGACCCGAACATCCAGGTGTTCGCTCAACTCTATTTATATGTTCTAGGATTGGAACTTTTAGTATCCAGGCATGTTCGACGTACATATTGTTTCCCACAGGGACACTGCAACATGTACACTACATTCTTGGTTTCACAACTTATATTTGATTTTATAATGAATTCTCTTCCGGTAACCATACTGTGACGAGACCAATCTCACCACGTTGCATTGGAGAAGCCTGGTTGCTCGCCTGCTGCCTTTGGACTATGGCCCCCTGTTAAAATACATCTTTTTTACCTGCAGAAAAGCTTCATTCGTGCTTTTCTGCCTGGGGTTCGGTAGATTTGTTTGAATGTGTTATACCCCAGATAGGAATCCCATGGAGCCCATTCGTATGAAACTGACTGTAAAGACTTTGGCTCCATGGCGATTAAACTGTATTCGTGTGGTCTGAGCGCCATTTGCTTAATAATGTGCGCTCAGACCTGAGCTATCTGGGGATATGTTACATGTCTGTGTTTTATGTAATAAATGTGACTTTATGTATTTTAAAGTGTTTTACTGTCTTTGTGTCCCCATGTGCTCAATGGAGTCTGCCTCTATCCCTGGATAATTGGATTACTTTCCCCATTGTCCAGGATAGAGGGCTCTGTAAAACCTGTTTGAGCCAGATAGCCATGCTGCCAGCCAGGGTACAAAAGATACTTTTTACTAGCTTTTGAACCCCTGGTCTGATTCATGCCATTTTTTAATATGTTGTTCCCCTGAATTGATTGATTGTGAATATGTAATTTTATGTGAATGTGATGTATGGTTTTAAAGTTATGAAAGTTGGGTAAAAAGTATGTTTTAACTGTATGTGTAATTGAGTTTCCTCTCAGGATAAGGGGAGAGAATATGTGGGATGTAACTGATATGTGATTGGTTGTTTTATACCTCCCTGTGGGCGGTCCTGTATTTGAAAAGACTGTAATAAAAACCAGGCTGGGTGTGCCAGCACCTCTGACCACTGCTTGACACTCAACACGGAGCCTTGTCTCGTTCTTGGGGGGATTCACTGTATGCTGTTAGAGACTGATTGCCAGGAGTGTAAGCTGATTGTCTGCTTTTCCTGTTCGTCTGCTAGCAGCTATTTGGGAGGTTCCAGTTTGGGAGTTGGAGTGCTATTTTGTATCCAGTTTGGGAGTTTGGTGTTCTGCAGTAGCTGTGCCTGCATCTCTGGAAAGGGGGCCGATCGCCTAAACGGTTTTTACCCCTTGTGTGCAAAACGGTCCGTTACACATACTTTTAAATGTTTTGATTTTTAATGATCTTGCAATCTGTGCAATACAAGCTTTTTATTTGTTGCAAGAGTTGAAACCCTTATTTCCCGTAATTACGTTGTTTCTACGTGTATTCTTTAAGGCATAACTTTGGGCTAGTATGCTCTTTAAATTCCTAGCCTTTTTGAAAATTGTAGGTGCTTTTTTGGGAGTACTTTCCCCAAAATTGGATCCCTCAATAGGATATCCCAATGCCTATTTAAGATTTTCTTTATTTTATAATGTTGGATGTTAAATTGGATGATAAATGCATATTTATAATCATCATTCCTTTGCATTTTATCTTTTTTCTTTAAACAATAAGGAAGGGAAACAGGAGAAGGGACAGGATAATTGAAAGAGTGTCCTGCAGAGTGGTAGTTGCCTCGTTATAGACAAAAGAGGAAAGATAATTAAAACTTCACTTTTAATGTAAATAGTTAAAAGGGGGTATACAAACAAATTTTAGTTCAAATAACTGTTGTAAGAAATCCTCAAGGGATAAAGTTACACTGCCTGTTAACAGAGTGAATTGCCACTGTGGGAACAACAGCTACAAAATTAGTAGTGTTAATATTTTTTATGCACTTTTGGTAAACAGTAAAATGTGGCTATGGTTGGTGAATTTTTAGGCATAATGAATCTGAGTTCTTCATTGGTGATGATATTGTCTTCCAGAGCTGAATTAAGTAACGTTTTGAAGGAGGTTAGGAATGAGGATGTAGGATCTCCGTCTAGCTTTTTGTAGCAAGTATCTACAAAGGAGGTCATCTACAAAGGGCATAGGGTGTGTAATGGACCCCGGGTAACCCGATTGGTTACTTCCGCTAATTCCTTCCTTCAGCCACTCTTGAACCATCAAATTAAGCAGACCTCCATTCCCTTCAGTAACTGGACGAGACACAGCTCTGGGAGAACAACACAATTTTATTATACCACACACGGCTTTTATGCATAACCCCTTGGAAGGGGTCTTCCACACAAACAAACAAACAGGGAATTCCATCCCATGATCCTCTGTGCCT